GTGGTGCAGCCCTGGCATACCAAGAGCTTTATCATTTATCACTGTAACTGGCATCAGAATATTCCCAGAGAACACGTCACCAAGTTAAAAAAAAGGACAACATGCAGCGGAGAAAGGGTAAAAAGAATCTTTTGCAACAAAAAAAGGACACTTGAGAGATACACCTGTACATGGTGCCTCTTTGACTGCCTTTGTGCTAAAGCAGTAGGTATTTGAATAGAAGCTGAGATTCTCAGGAGTGAAGAATGCTATGTTTATGCAAGAAGACAGTAGAGCTTGTCTACCTATGAGGTTGCACTTTGACCTCTCAGAAACTGCATTAAGGTGTGCCTTAAAGAGAAAAGAGCACAGGAGTATCCTGCATATTTTCTCTTATGAATCAACTGTACAAAGGTCCACTCCTCACACCTAGTCTACAGGCTGGAAAAATTGATCTAGATGACCTCTCACCCAAAGATTATGCAGGCTGGAGATTTGAACATAGCAAACAGCAAATCATTTTATTGTTCTGCCTAGTAAAGGCTTAACTGCCAGTAAGATGATTTTTTTTTCCCCCAGGGGAAAGCGCGAACGCAGTCCCCCACTACCACAAATTATGCAGTCGAGTTTCCCGCATTTGGGGAAATCAGCACACCCGCAGTGCAATGGATGAGCCTCACCCTGGGAAAACCATCTTCGTGATCATGGTATCTCCCCTGCCAGGTAAGTATGATAGCTTAATTCACTATCCTACTGCATTTAGGAGAATGTGTTTCCTAGTAGACAGTGCACAGAAGCAGGAGCCAATAGCTTCTGGCTTTGGTACTGATTCCCCCCTGTAGCTTTGAGCAACTCACTTAACTTTTCTGCCTCAGTTTCCCCCTCTGTACAATAATGATAATAATACTCACCAAGTTCACAGAGGTGGTGGTGGTGGTAGGATTAGCTAGTTAACATTTTTAAAGGACTTTCAAAATACGCAATATAACGGTGCATACATTCCACTTTTCACCCATCAGTCTTAAATTGCTTTATAAAAATGTGTGTCTATTTTACATTGGGGATGCAGAGACACAAGCAGATTAAACAACTTGCCTGGGGCCAGAAAGCAAATCAGTGGTAGGGTCAGGAAGAGAATCAGGGTCCAAAATAGTTAAGAGACTGTAAAAAAGAGTAAAGATGATAAATGGCAGTTTATCAGTTTGGGGGAAAGAGAGCATAGGGATCTGTGGTCTTTATTTACTAGTCATGATCTGCTGGAGACGATAAACATCACAGTAATGATGTTTCCAAATGATATTCTTTGACTTAGTCTCCCTTTACATCACGCCACCTGCCCTCTCCACTCTACCAATGACACCAGCCTCAGTACTCCTGTTGTGTCCTTCTCTCACAGACAGCCGCATCTCTGAGGCCTCTTCCATGCTACCCTTATGCTCAGCATGCCCTTCCCTTCCCTGTTCCAGCACTGCCAATGCTTGTGAGTTCATTGCAATATTTGGTGGTTTTTCTAAAGCCCCAGCCCTTGGATTCATGGGATTACCAGGGAATCTCAACTTTCATTTTTTAAAAAGTAAGTTTCCACGCCTTATAACTGTGGAGAAAAGCCTGAAAGCATGAACCCTAAAGGCTCAGAAAGCAGAAGGCATTTTCAAAAATCTCATGATTTTAAAGTCATGACAGAACAAGAAGTAATAGTCTCAAGTTACAGCGGGAGAGGTTTAGGTTGGATATTAGGAAAAACTTTTTCACTAGGAGGGTGGTGAAGCACTGGAATGGGTTACCTAAGGAGGTGGTGGAATCTCCTTCCTTAGAGGTTTTTAAGGTCAGGCTTGACAAAGTCTTGGCTGGGATGATTTAGTTGGGGATTGGTCCTGCTTTGAGCAGGGGGTTGGACTAGATGACCTCCTGAGGTCCCTTCCAACCCTGATATCCTATGGTTCTATGATTTTTGGGGCCCGACTTGTGGTGTTTGAAAATATGGGGTTGGCAATGGTGCTGGGCCCTAGAGCCTTGATCTTGCAGCAGCATCTGTGAAGGTGCAATTGCAGGGTCAGCGCCTGAGCTGCCCCCTCACCACATCCAAACCATTCTAAAAAGGCACTTCTGCCATCTCACCTATTAGCAGTGAGGGGGAAGAAAAGTAACCATAAAAAGCCCAACCCTTGAAGAGAATTGTCCACACATGGACACACCTTGCTATATAAACACACAAGAATTGTACTGTCACTCTTGTCCTTTTCAGTTTATTATTCTCCTCAGTCTCACTAGTTTTCCAAATGCTTACAACATTTTAACCTTTGATTGCAATTCCCCCGCACTTCTCTCTCCAGTTCTTTGTTTAATATGGATGGTGCTTTTTATCATCACAAAAGGCACGATAAAAATATCTTTATCCTATCTTATATGACAATCTGAAGTAGGCTTGGCATCAAGGCTATGAAGTTAACCCTGAGGTATCTCATTTTATGGCAGCTGTTTGAAATTTGACTCATGGAACTTGAAGATCAGTCACTCTCTGGCCGAGAGAGCCTTGACTTTATAGTATTTGTAAACCTTTAATGTCACAAATACACACCATTGGAAACAAAATGTTCTTACTCTTTGAGAAGTGATTGTTACCAGAATGAGGAGAAAGCACCTCAGAATGCCAGAGGTCGAGCTAGGAGGAAAGACACATTACAAAAATAAAGTAGAAAACATTGTCATGTTTTATTTTTGGATAATTAAAATAAAACATTAAGAACAACAAAATTGATTCATTCTGCCACTTTCATGATCATTTTGGCTCTGATTCAGGAAAGCATTCCTATTCAGGAAAACACTTAAACACATGCTTAAAATTACGCAAGTCCTGTTCTGACCTAATTAGGGTTATACATAAGCATATGCATAAATGCTTTTCTGAATTGGGGCCTTGGGCCCAGATCCTCAACGGTATTTAGGTTCCTAACTTCAACAGATTTCAGTGGAAATCTGTCTTCTTAGCTGACAGCGCAAAAGTCCACTTAATCCACTTGCTAATCACTACCTAAACTGTAAATTTCATTGCTCAAATATGCAATGTAGTTGTAGTTGTGTCAGTCCTACCTTGAATGGTCCCTTAGAGTATATGCTAACTACTGATGCTCAAGAGTCTGTTCCACCTTGCATTTAGCTGTGACGCTGGAGTACCTTTCCCAAACCTAAAGAAGAGCTCCATGTGGATCGAAAGCTTGTCTCTCTCACAAACAGAAGTTGGTCCAATAAAAGATATTAGCTTATCCACTTCGTCTTTCTATTGCTCAAATATGACACATGAATAATAGTAGAAGTATTAAAAATCTACTCTAAAAGCATAATAGCTAAAGAGACTCTCATGGTGAAACTAAGCTCACATTGATTTTAAAATATAAATCTATTTTAATGAGCATTTCAGATATGTGATTGTGACAAATGCTTGGTTGACAGTGATGGAAAATGAAGCCTTCTCTCCACAGAATAGGTTAATCAGAGGCAGTATCAGAAGAGGCTTCTTGCTTTGCCCAGATGACACACCTTTAACTGTGTGTGGGAAGATCCAAGTAATTCAGTGTCCATGCCTGTTCCCAACACTTGATTTGAGTTCTAAATCCCCATATATACTAGGAAATTGATCAGTTATTAGCAACAGGTCCCAGTGAAGCAATGCTGAAAGCCATTTGATTTAATGTATGGAACAAAACAATTTTAAAACTCATTAGAGAAAAAGCATGACTTTTGAAAATGATTTTGTCCCATTTGCACTAGCAATTAAACTGTTTCCAACCCCAATTCATGAGAAGACTTGTTGGCTCTAAATAGTCTATTTTCCCCATGTGGGGTCCCATGAAGTCACAGCCAGCCATTATAAAACACTAGCAAATGCCATTTTATGTGGATAGGTATTAGATTACAACTATGGGAGTAACTATTGCTAATTGCTGTGGTTAAGTATCTATGGCCTTGTCTACACTTGGAAAATACATCACGTTAGAAAACGTGTTAAATAACAAGATGTTAAACATGCTTTGGTACATAGCATGGACAAGTACAATCGTGTTTAAAAGGTGTAAGCTGGTTATGATTAACCTTAGAGGGAGAATCTAGAAGCTAAGTCATATCTGATATCATGTATTTAAAACAGATACATTTTCCTAGTGTACATATGGCCAAAGCATCAATGCCCAATGTGAACTAGAGAAGCCAGAACACACTCAACTCCTGACAGCTTACTAAACATTACATCGAAGTTATATCGAACCAAAATGGAGCAATTAGCCTCCTCCAAGAACACTGGATTTCCAGGGACCCCTTACAATAGATGGAAATTCATTGGAATGAGGCTAATCAATGGGTGTCAATGATGGCAGTATTTGTACCAACAAGTCTAAAAACAGTCTAAGTCTTAGTGCAGTGTTTCTTAAACTGGGGGTCCCGACCCAAAAGGGGGTCACAAGACTATTGTGGTGGGTCATGAGAGTGGTATCTGCTGGCAAGGTGCCCAGCTCTGAAGTAAGCAGCAGTGCAGAAATAAGGGTGGCATGGTATGGGGGGAGGGACATCAGAGCTTGAAATATTTTCAAAGGGGGGCCCAGCAAAAAAAGTTTGAGAACCCCTGTCCCTAGTGGGCTTCAGGATGGCTCAGGATTGGGGGGGCGAGAAGGGAGCAATTCTTTGAAAATGATTCCTTTTAATAAAAATACTTAGCTTTATAGAAAAAAATTGTATACATTATCTCAAAGCGCTTCACAAAGATAGTTAAGTATCATTATCCCCATTTTACAGATGGGGACACTAAGGCACAGCAGGTCAGTGGCAGAGCACAGAACATAACCCACCTCTCCTGCCTCCCAGTCCCATGCCTGATCCATTGGATCACACTGCCTCCCATGGGGAGGACTATTGGTAGCTATTATTAAATAGTCATGAATGGTTACTGTGTGCTTACTGGTATAAAACAGTGGTTCTCAACCAGGCACACGCTTACCTCTGAGGGTACACAGAGGTCTTGCAAGGGGTACATCAAATCATCCAGGTATTTGCCTAGTTTTACAACTGGCTACATAAAAAGCAATAGCGAGGTCAATCCACACTTAAATTTTATACAGACAAATGAGAAAGTAAGCAATTTTTCAGTAATAGTGTGCTGTGACACTTCTGTATTTTTATGTCCAGTATCGCAAGCAAATAATTTTAAGTGAAATGAAACTTGGGGTATGCAAGACAAATCAGACTCCTGAAAGGGGTACAGTAGTCTGGAAAGACTGAGAATCACTGGTATAAAAAAAGACAGGAAAAAGTGACAGCCCTCACCCAAAGAGCTTATCATCTATTGAGGTGGATATCGCATGCAGGATGTGGTGGGGTTTGAGAAGATATATTTACTGAGGTATGTTAGCTGTTTCGGGCTTAGTGAGAAGAGTGAGAGTTTTGAGGAGGGATTTGAATAAAGAGAGGGTGGGCACCTGAGGTGTTGGACCAGGGAGAGAGCTCCAAACACAGAGGTGGCTACATGAAATGAGGAAAAAACAAAAAAGAGAGTGAGTCTCCAGTGTTGCTGCATTGTATAAACACCGTAATGTGTGCAATACAGTATTACATCACTTCACATTTACACTGCAGGGTTCAAACAAGCTGATGGGACCCAAACTGTCTGACAACTGCATGAAATTATATGGAGACTGAAATCTCTCACTCGGTGTATATATCTCTGAAAATAAGGAGGTTTATCCTCCCACTTTTTGGTCCTTTCTATCCAGGTCACATGAATTTATACCAGAAGCTGTTCCAGTTTGAATATCTGCTATTTGCAGTATAAGGATATAAAAGTTGCAATGGACGTCTCCTCAAGTAAAGCATATACATTAGTCAGGATCTTGCCATGGGCAAGCTGAGTTGGGCTACAAGTATTGTCCCAGCTCTCACAAAACAGCACATCCATCCATCTTCTAAACATTGTGGGTTCCATCTTCAATAACTTTGCCATTTAGGTTGATCTTGGTGTTCTGTTTGTTGTCGCTAGTTTCCTGGTCAGTGCACCCTGGAAGTTCCAGATCATCATATCTTTTCCTATACACCACCCTTGAGATCAGTGTTATCAGAAACATTTCCATTATGAGAAGCTGTTGGTTCATATCTGGCAAAAAAAGAAATCATGTCAGAATTGGGGAAGAACAGTAGGTTTAACTCATCCCCATTTGCCCAAAGGGCATAGGCACGGACTTTTATTTTTCCCTGAGGGTGCTCCACCCCTGTTCTGCCCCAAGGCCCTGCCCCCACTTCAACCCTTCCCCTGGGGGTCCCTGCCCGCCTGCTGCTGTCTGCCCTCCCCTGAGAGCCTCCCCACAGCTGCCAAACAGCTGATCAGCGGTGCCACCAAACAGCTGTGGCTGGTGGGTGCTGAGCACCCACTATTTTTTTCCCCAAGGATGCTTTAGCCCTGGAGCACTCATGGAGCCAGCACCTATGCAAGGGAAGCAGCTTCCTCCTAAGCCAGCAAGTGGCTGTTGTAGCCCAGGTGGGTACACTCCTGCAGAGGGTAGCCAGGACTTGCAGTCTAAGCTGCCAAAGATCCACAGAAGCTCTGTAGGCAAAAGTTGCCTTGGGATGTGTTGAATCAGCACATCTCCTGGATGCCCAGGCCTCCCCCCTCCCTAGCAAGTGTTGGCTTGGGGAGGGTGAGGGGAAGGTTCCTTGTTCCTGGCTCCTTCCAAGGATGAGACTGGTGCTACTGCCTCCCATTTCTGGGTGGAGTTAAAGTTGGGAGCCTTGGTTCAGGGTTACACTGCTGGGAGATGGGAGTGAAGAAGGTCTAAAGCCTGGTTTACACTTAGCTATGGAGCTCAGGGATGTGAAAAATCTACAGCCCCGAGCGCCCTACTTATGCCAACTTAGCCCCTGAAGTAGATGCAGCCTTGTTATTGGAACAATTCTTCCATCGATCTAGCTATCACCATTGAGGCAGGTAGATGACCGACAGCAATAGAAAATCCTTTTCCATCACTGTAGGAAGCATCTACACCAGTGGTCGCCAATCTATGGGGCACGCTGTGACATTCTGTACTCCAAAGTACCACCTTGGTGCCCCCATATTCACCAGCGTTATATAATTGCAACAAATCTTGTACAAAATATGTCATGTAAGGTGTCAATGGAAAAGGTATGGTTTGCTGATTATGATTATCCTATTTGTATGCATGTATCATTTTTGTATCTGAAGTTATGAATATTGACTATGGGCCAGTATTTCAAATGTGGTTACTCCTAGGTAACACCCATAAAGTAGTTTACATCCAATCTAGCCAATACATTGTGAATGGACTATTCAAGGTAAGGGCCGATCAATAAACACAATGGGCCAGGGGAAAAGCTTTCCCAATGGACTTTCCTGTGAACATTCTAGCCAGAATATGGGTAATGGCCCTTGCTATGACTCATCCACGCATGCAAGGGCATATGACTATATCATGTGACACTGGACTCCATCTTGTGCCTGTACTTTACTGTACAAACTGTGCTGGGACTTTGCTTGGAACAAAGAATTTCCCTCCACATGGAAGAAGCTATACAAGGGGGAAGTGACATCATCACTGGGCCTCACTCCTCCTACAACAAACACATGGAAACACCTTAGGAACAAAGACTGAACTGGGGATGTGGTCCCAGTCTGAAGGGATTTCTAGCCTGTGTATGGAAGATTGGTGGACTGTTTGTACCATCAGGGTGAGACACTGATTGATTCAAATCCGGTCTAGTGTATAGAACTTAGCCTGCGATTTTGTTTTTTTTTCCCCTTAGGTAACCAATTTTGATTTGTATGTTATCACTTACAAGCACTTCAAATCTCTCTTTCTGAAGTTAATAAATCTGTTTTATATTTTTTACCTAAAACAGTGTGTTGCTTGAAGTGCAAAAGGGAAATCCGCTCAGGAACAGGGGTTGGTACATTGTCCTCTCCACACTGAGGGAGGGGTGGACTGGGAAATAAACTTACACTGGTCAGGCTTTTGACCAGAGCAAGACGGTACAGCTCTTGGGTCCTAGGCTGGGGAGCTAGTGGGGGGACTGACTGGAGCCACTCTATTGTCAGTCCATGAGTGGCTAGGAGAAGCATTCATGTAACAGCAGATGGGGGTGTCTCTGTCTGTGAATGTCTGTGTAAGTGCAGGATCTGGAGGGGTCTGCAGCTTGTCCCAGCATCACAGTGAGTGAGGAAGCCCAGGCTGGTGATACAGAAGGCTCAGCGATACCCCAGTTCCAGGTGCACCCTGGGAAAGTCCGTCACACTCGCCCCCCTAGGGGGGCACAGAGGAACGTTTAGAGGGGTGAGTGGCAGGCCCAGGCCAGCCCCCGTGGGGGGGCAGGGAGGGAGAGCCACCCAGTCCTGCTCCACCCCCAGGCCATCTCCAGTGCCAGCCACAGCTCCACTCCACACCATGCTCTGGCCCCAGCCCAGCTCTGCCATCATTCGTTCTCTGCCCTGAGGCCACATCCACCTCTAGCCCAGCTCCTCCCCCCATCTCCAGTTCTGCCCCCAGCTCCACCTTCAGCCCCAGCTCCTTTGCTGAACCAATTGTGCAGTAATGGAGTGGGGAGGGGTGTGGACAGATTCCATTACCGGCGTGGGGTGGGAGATGGATGACAGGAAAAGTTTGGGCACCACTGGTCTACACTATGGGGCTGCAGCACCATAGCTGTGCTGCTGTAGCGCCCATAGTGTAGACATGGCCTAACACTCAACTGAGTGGTATTTGTCTGTACTATGGTAACTTTTGAACACCACATCTGATCAATTCCAAAATTTCAGGGAATATTCTAGGCATCAAAGAGCAGAAAATGGTAAAAAAACAAAAGGGGGGAAATGGGGGACACACCACGCCCCTGGCATCTGGTTAGCAGAGTCACAGCTTCAAGTGCCTCCGTAATTGTCTATAGATCAAAGAACCCGCTGATGGCAGCCATTAACACTTTCCAGCCTAACGATGCCCATCTCATGTCTTTCCAGCCTCCCAACCGAGTTTAACAGGCTGACAGCCTAAATGATTTATCTCCCCACAGAAAGAAAAGAAATGAGAATTGTGGGGGGAAGATGGGAGTGGGGGGGCACGATGGCACACACAATACCTTGTAGGATCAGCTCCTTAATTCTCACTGTTTTGGAGTTCATATCTCTGTAAAGTGCTTTGTTGCTCATGAAAGCACTTTAGTAAATGCATACTTTACCTCCCAATAGATTTGTGGGTGTCCAATTTCAGAAACCTTTGAAGGGGCCTAATTTTCAAAGGCTTGATGTTCAGTACTTTATGAGATCAGACGCTTTAACACATCTCAAGTTAGACACTAAAAATCACTAGTCATTTTTCAAAACATACAGTATTGCCAATTCAAGCATTCAAAAATCATAAGATGGGCCCCAAAAAAACATGAGAGTTTTTTTTTTTTTAAATCTCATGATTTTTAATCCTGATATGTGTTGGATTTTTTTTCTTTGACATCTGGTTTCTGAGTCATTATCACTTATCTCTATAACCAGGAGAGATAGAAAGATTTTTCTGGGAAAGTTGAAATGCTCATGTAACTGCAAGATGCCAGGAAACAGATGTTTAAGGGAAATGCCAAAATTTCACAAGACACCATTAAAATCGAAAGCGTTGGCAACACTGATTTCCAGGCCTTTATACATTTAAAAAAATAACCCTCCCCTACTCTACAGCCCTCCAAAAGAACCTACACGCTCCTCTTGCTAAAGAAGCCAGAGGTGGTGCACAGGGAATAATTCCTTGCAGAGCCAGGATATTGATGATGGCTGCCTGGAGTTGGCTCAGAATGAGGACAAACTGTGAAAAGAAACAAAGAAAAGGAGATTGATACTTCAGTACTATAGACGGGCTGTATCTCAGCCAGGGCCGGCTCCAGGCACCAGGCAACCAAGCTGGTGCTTGGGGCGGCACCTGGAGGGGGGCGGCGCGGCGCTCCGGCCGCCGGGGAGAGCGGGGCCACAGCCGGGCTCGCCGCCCTCCCCCCAGCACTCTGGGCGCCCCCCCCCCCCCGGCGCCCTCCCCCCGGCCGTGGGGGGGAGAGCGGAGCCCCCGCCGGGGCTCGCCGCCCTGCGTCCGGAGCCTTTTTTGCCTGGGGCGGCAAAAAAGCCAGAGCCGGCCCTGATCTCAGCACAGTGATCTTGCTTTCATGAAGAATATAAAAATCCTCTTCCACCTTGTCTCTCTCCTCTCCTCACCTCCTACCCTAAGCCTGCCTCCCCTGCAGAATAAATCTTTTGGTGAAGGCAATATGGCTCACAGCTTGAAAATTAAATCAAACTTCCTAGCTGTAAAAAAGGCTTGACCCCAGCTCTTCGGTCCAAAGATGCAACAGCTGTGAGGCTTCCATTTGGGGTAACAATCAATATTTACTGCTTCATATCAGAATAAAACATAAGAAAAATGGAGTCTTACCAGCCTTGTAATTATTAATTTGTACCCACCTGTAACAAGGGGGCAAGATTCTTCTGTTGCCCTACTCTGGTATGAGGTGTTGGAAAACACACACACAGACACAAACAGAGAGAGCAGAGAGATGCTGACTGATTCCTGCTAACTCACTGTGGCAGGGGTGACTCTTAAACTGTCCCCTAGTTATAAGGGAAGTGGCTTTTGGTGCAGAAGAAACTAGATTCTAGGACAGAGATGTCTTTGCAGTGGATCCCTAGGAAAGCCAAGCTGGGGAAGAAAGGGCAGGGTGATGTGTGTGCGCGTTGTTGTCGTTTGAGTAACCAATAAAGCCAATACGTCAGGAAGGGAGTAAGTTTGGACTAAATTCTGTGGACCAGCTTTATAAAGTTGTATACGTGCATAAAGATGCAGATAGGTGCCCGGTGGGATTCACAGACATGCCTAAACAGATTAGGGCCCAGATTTTTAAAGGTATTTAGGCACTGCTGTGCTCAATGTTGCAAAATCTAATTGATTTAGGAGCCTAGCTCTCATTTTCAAAAGGGATTTAGACACACACAAGTCTAAATCCCATTGACAGTCAATGGGCAACACGTTTAAAATCTGGGCCTAGGTGCCTAACTCCCATTGAAGCCATTGTAGGCACCTGGCCTGCTTAGGTGCTTTTGAAAACCCCATTAGGTGCCTATCTGCATCTTCATGCACCTAAATACCCTTGTAAATCTGGCATTTTGTGTATAAATTCTTCTTAAAGCAGGGTAGAAACACAGCCTGCTCCCTTGAACTTTTCTTGCCCTGTTCCTGACCTGAGAACTTTCCCCCTGTGCTAGTCAGCGTCTCACTCGGGAGTTCGTTCTGAGCCCGTGTCTCTAGTTGGTGTGTGACCAGAGCATTTTTGAAATCGGTCAGGAAAACTGAGCTTTGCATACATTTAGTGCAGAGTGTTCGCTGTCTTAGCATGTTCCCAGCCCTGCCCACAAAGTAATCAGTAAACAGATGTAAAAATTAAGAAATTCTTTAAGGCCAGTGAGGACAGAATAGCATTCAACTACTTTCTCAGGAACTGATAAGGGTGGAGGAGGGAAAGAAAATCTGTGGTTCAATATAAGATTATAAAATCCATTGCATAGGTTAAAATGATCTGAACTCCCTCATGAATACATTTCCCATAAAAATTCAAAGACAAAAATGTTCTCATTCACCTCAATTATTATTGTCTTTACTAGTTTAGTGCTGACAGTGTACAGGACACAGAGAAAGACATAGTTCCTGTCCTAAGGATTTTATAATCTAAGGGCCTGAAGCACTTCATACGAGGTGTAATATTCACTTCTGTGAGTAGTGCCTTGAGTTTAATGGGACTCCTTGTGGTAGTAAGTCTAACTACTGAAAGTAAGTGTTGTAGGATCAGCTGCGAAGGCCAGCTGTGATCATGCAGAACAGATTTCAGATCCAGATCATCAGGATGAATCACCCAATGAAGTAATTTTTAAAAACAAACAAATGCATGTGATCTCAGAATAGAGAGAGTGCTCTAGAGTGTGACACCTCTTAGTCTGTGCTGTTCTTAGCCATATATCTTGGTGGGCATCCAAAATATTTACGGGACACATATGGAGTATCAGTGACTCACTAGCTTGAAATCGTGTTTAATTCCATGTTGAAGTAAATGTACAGGCTGACTTCAATTAAATAGGGTTGGGGGAACTAGCCTAAAAACTATCATATATAGATCTATACCTGAGAGCAAGAGCCAGTAAAAACTACATGCTGCTTTTGTACTGTGTTAGATGGTGCAAATCCCAAAAACCAGAGTGAATTTAAAGCTGTACTGGTCCCAGATCCAAAAAAAACTTTGCCATCTCCATCCTGCCAGACAAACAGCAATATCTGACATGTGTTGCTGGATGGCATCCAGCTGCTGCCTGCCCTACCTGTTCCTTCAGGTCATGTACTGACACGTACTGACTACTTGTGAGTGCCTCATGGACACAGGCTGCACCTCCTCATTGACAGCATGTGGCCAGAGAGACTACGCAGCCTGCTGTACACTGGCCTAAGCCTTCTCTACACTGAGTGTATACCCCAGTGTAGACACTGTACCAGTGCGTAACCCCTTTGCAGTTTAGAGAGAATGGCCCTTTTAAATCTTTGTCCTGAGGGGAGGAAGTGTTGATTTTTCCAGGAAGAGGAAGTTCTGTTTTGAGGGGGTGGGCATGGAGAGAGGGGAAACGACAGGGTGTATGTGTGTCTGTAGCTCCAGACAGAAGGGCTGCAGCAAGTGGGCCCTCACGCAGTGAAGCAGCCAAGAACCTGCCTGAAGCCTGGGAGGGACTGAGCGGCCGATCAGGGACACCCCAGGACAGGAGCCAGGAGGAGCACCATGCCAGGATGGAATCATCTGAGAAACAGGAGCTGGACTAAGGATCACTGTTGCCCAGAGCTGTATGGGGCTGCGAGTACTGGGTCTTGTGACTTTGCATTGGGAATAAGGGGAGAGGCGGTAGCTAGCTAAGTGGGGAGGTTGCCGCTCTGTCTGGGTTTGCAGAGAGTGGCAGAAGAGGGCACTGGAAGGGTTTGTTGGGGAAAGTTCACTGGTGCCCAAGATGACCAGGAGCACCCAAGACTCACTGCCAGACTGGAACTCTGCCCGGGACCCCTGAACTCTGAGTGCAGGTGTAGTGCTCAGTGTCTGCCCTTTCAGACTGTGGTACTGCTGGGCCTGTGGGGCCTCGTGGTAGATGTAACTCTGTTTTACCACTGCCCCATCTTCCCTCCTGTTGTTCTCCATTCATCCCTCTGTAAATAAATATTTCCTCTCCTGTATTCATTGTACTATTCCGGTGTGCATGTGTTCACATCAGGGGGTGTCGAACAATGTACCCCTGGGGCGGAAAGGACTTTCCCTGCTGCGTTCCTGCGTGCGCCTTTTCTTGACCAGAGCTGCCTACAGACCAGACTCCATTTTGGCCACGAGGGCACTAAAGTTACAACTTAGTGTGACTTGCACTAGGGCAACTTAGTGAGGTAAACTGCCCAGGTGTGAGTCATGGTTTACAGTTCTGGCCATTGCATTTACACTAAGGTTTTTCACTGATGACTAAAACGTAACACAAACAAGGCCTTACAGCACCACCTCCTAGGGATGCCCACAGATGGCAGGGCCCAAATAAGAGGATACTGCCTCAGTCCTTGAGGATGGAGGTATCTTTCACGGGTTTCTTTAATATTGAAAATGGATAGAACTAAATCTGGCCCATATCTGGCCCCACTCTATTATTCAGTGGTTTCCTACCAATGTTTTTATTATTGTCTTATTCTCATTTGTAGACTGGCCAAGAAAAATAACTAACATCACAGAAACAGCAGCATGTTGCAACAATTGAAACAAGAAGAACCCCCCACCCCAGTTCCAGAACCCTTCCCATCTTGTAAAGTACACACTAGAATTTTAACATTGTATTACAGGATACACCATCTACTATATGAGGCTTCCTTTATGCTGAGAAAAGAGAGCTCAGCTATGTGCTATTTTTTCCCCACAGCCCAAGGAAGAATGGATTATAAATATTTTTCAATTCTCCAGCATTATACAAACACCAGATGCAAGTTAATACAAGTTGAGCATGAACAAGAACAACACTTCAAAGAGAAACTACATCTTTAACCAATCAAAGGGTGTGCCTTTGTACAGTAAGTTTTAAATTACAGTTTTTGAACTGAGAAGCAATAAGCCGTACCAAATTCTGCCCAGGACTTGGGTTATTCTATATCAACAGCAATGCAAATTCTGAACTGAAATGTGAAGATTCTTACCTCATAAAGTGCAAACTTAGGGATGATCTTCTTACAGTTAAGAAGAACTCGAACTTGTTGAAACATGATTCCAATTGGCCACAGAGCAATGATTGTAAGGACACCAACAAAGCAGTTAATCCATATTGCAGCTCCATTAGGAGTTAACTAAAAAACAAGTTAAACAGGCATATGGATAAGACTTGGCAACTGTGAAAACATGCAAAAAATAAAACGCCTGTTTCTATTTTTATGAAAGCTGAAATCAACAGCAGAGGCTTCTGGGATTTGCACTGGAAACTGCTCAGAGGACACTGCCAACAGAAGGGATAATATGGAATGCAGTACTTGCTCACCAAGCAGCCAGTGGCTTGCAAAACTGGTAGGACCTGGGAAGGTGACAAAGAGCTAGATTCTTCCAGGACCTGAGCACCGTCCTTCTCCCATCAACACTAATGGGAATTGCGGTGCTCAGCATCTTGCAGGATCAAACCCAGAATGACCCACCAAAGGCTTCTTCTGAAAGACAAATTGTCTCCCCCAGCAGCCTCAAAGATATTTTACAAAAACAACAAGGAGTCCGGTGGCACCTTAAAGTCTAACAGATTTATTTGGGCATAAGCTTTCGTGGGTAAAAAACCCACTTCTTCAGATGCATGGAGTGAAAATTACAGATGCAGGCATTATTATACTGACACATGATGTTGTGAGCGTTATCTTGTTGCATGACAACCGGCAGCCGTGCAAGGTGAATGTACAATGCTACTTTACACTGAGTTCGCACAAGTATAAATGACAGCACAATATGCAGCGGAATGATGAATTGGGTCTACTGTTTATAGGATGTTGGTTGGTACATAAACCTGGCCTTTTAGATACTAATTGTCAAGCCAAATGGTAAAAGCTTAGTGAGCAATGGCTGATTAGAATATTTACTTACATCAGAAGGGCTGTAGTTTCCATTGGTCCAAAGCACTATTGACAGAAACATTAGCACAGGTCGAAGGAAAGCAAGTTGAATGGTCCCCAACTTCAGCAGAAACAGGGTTCGTCTGACAAGTCAAAAAACCACCACTGCTCAATACCTTGTTAATAAGCTTAACAACACTTCACTAGATATTGTTAAATAGTAGAGGCCCCACATTTTCCATATGTACTGTACATGGCTGAAATCTGGTAAGGAACATCTTCTAGAACCTAAATAGCTTGTCTAGAATTCTCTGTTTTTTCACAGCATATTGAAAGATGTAGACACGAACTTAGCAGAACAGGCACAACATAATGTTTTTTGCTCCATTGCTGGTTCTGCAGCAGCAGTTAAATAACTAATGGAGCTGTGCAAAAGGTGATGTATTAGAGTCTACTGGGGAGCCAATGGCAAAATAGCTAGCACCTGAAATATGCCATTAGCTCCTCCACTGCAGCCATACTATCCCAACCTTCTGCTACAGTGGGCAAGTTGGTGCTTCACTACCAGCATTAAACTTAATGGCAAGTTACCATAGATCTTTAATCCTTGTCTAGAAAAACCATGTCACATATGGTGGCTTCTTCCTGATTCCACCCTTCCTATTAGCGAACCCCCAATCTTGTGGTAGTCCAGGAAAGCAGGGGTTTTGAAGGATCAGGAGAGAGGATCAGCATTTTCCGGAGTATTCCTCCATGAACACTGTTCAACAGCCATCCACTTTTCCTCCTAGGTCGGAGGAAATCATCCACCTTCGACCACTACACTTCCTAGCCCCCTCAGGACAGCTGGTGCACACTTTCCTCTCTTCAGTGAGTCATAATCACAGACCCAAAAAACATCCTTCAGATTTTAATGCTGTTTTAAAAATACCGTAAGGAAAGGGCGGGGGGAGAGGGAAGGGAAAGACACTTGTCTCTCAGATACATGAAAGCTGATATAGCTGAACTATCTAAGTGCACACTGGGCAAGATCCAGCTCCTACTCCCCTTTTCTTTGTCAACTTTATTATTCCTCATCTATTTCCCAGCTCTCGCTCTCTCTGGTTATTTCGGTCTTCGCTGTTGTGCCCTTGGCCCCTCGGACACTCTACCTAATGAAGGCTCAGCAGCCAGCCAGCTGCCATTTAATGTGTAATGTGATATATTAATGAACCTTGATTTATTATAATTGCTCAATTAATACAGCCATAATTACATCATTACAGTGGTAATTTTACTCCCGCAAATAATTATAGAACTATAAACGGTACAAACAAGTGTGAAATGTGCTGAGACAGGTCACCCGATTAGTGCATTTGCCCTTTCAAGCATTTGGAGAATTGTGACAACAGAGCAATTGTTGCTGATAGAAACCTGTTACTGTACCTTCCCCTGTTCCTGACCCTTATCACTCTTATCTGCACTAGCCTGTCCTATCTACCATCCTTATTTCTTATTTAAAAAAAAGCTAAGTTCAACCAAACAAGAGACACCTGCAGGAGGGGCCAGAGGAGGATGAAATTTTCAAGAAGTTATCCTCTGTCCTGGAAGAAGCTTAGAGAGCTCAAAAGTTAGTAGAAGGCAAGGCCTCCCAACCCTAGGTACCGATGAGAAGGAGCCCAACACAGGTCTACAGAGGTAGGAGTAGGGTTACCATATTTTAATTTAAAAAAAGGAGGACACTCCGGCCCCGCCCCAACTCCACCCCTTCCCCGCCCCTGCCTCTTCCCCAAAGTCCCCGCCCCAACTCTGCCCCCTCCCCTGAACGCTCCGCCCCCCTGCTCCTCCCCCTCCCCTGCTTCCCGCGAATCAAATGTTCGCGGGAAACCTGAAACAGGGAGGCAGCAGATGGGCTGGGGCTGGGGCTGGGCACGGCGCGGCCCAGTCCGGCCCCCCCAGCCGAGTGGCTCCCTCCGGCGGCCGGACGGCCCAGGCCAAGGGGCTCTGGCCCCGGCGTCTCCCGCCCGGCTCGGCTCGGGCCCTGGGGCGCCGGCCCTGGTTGCGGCCCGCCCTGGCCCCGGTGGCCCCAGCGGCCCCGGCCCCTGGCCGAGCACCGCCAGCCCCAGCGGCCGCGGCCGAGCACCGCCAGCCCCCGACCGAGCACTGCCGGCCCCAGCGGCTCCGGCCCCCGGCCGAGCACCGCCGACCCCAGTGGCCCTGGCAGCATGACTCCAGCAACAGCCTCATTTTCACTGAAAGCCTGAATGTCCGCTGGGTTGACCAAGAATGATACTACGGAGATTGTCTGGTCCCCAACTCCAAGCCCTTCCACCCCAAAACAGTGGAGGATAGCCACATGGTGCAAGCTGAAAGAGTCAATTTTGATGTGGCCCCATAATGATAATACACCTTAAAATAGACAGCATGAGATACAGAGGTAATACATACAAAATGCACCGGGTGCAAGTTTTCTCTGGAGCGGGAAGACCCAGTATTGTATGTGTGGCTCTGCTAAGTTGCTGGTTTCTGACACCAGTACTCTAGCTGGGGAGCTCGGAAGTGAAACTCACCTAGTGATGTGTACATAAGGGAGGCAAAGGCAACAGCAACAGCAGGGACCTGTGCTGATCTTGAAACGATCATTTTCAAATCTCCTGAGAAATAACTTTTGACCTCCACACTCTTCAATCATCATCAGCATGAACTTGTGGATCACAATGGCAAAAAAACTACAAGAGAAAAAATATCAGGTTAAATATACACAAAGTGCATGTGTTCTTTGTATACCAGCATAGACATGTATCTTTAACCATCCTACTTCAGGAATTTGCAATGCTGACATTTCCTAAAGTCTGTTAGTAATAGTAATATTTAGCGTTAACTGCATAGAAACATTACTTTATAAGGGCAGGCTGAGTTAAGTATTAATTTCATTTTTCAGAGAAGGAAATCGAGACATAGAGCAACTAATTGATTTGCCGAAGGCCACATAGCATGTAGGTGGGAGAGTCAGCATTAGAATGCAGGAGCTCCTGGCTCCCACCCTAGTGCTCTATCCATTAGACTATGCTGCCTCTGCTTTTTGTACTATTTTTCTACTTGTTGGCTGAGCTCTCACCAATGCAGTCATACTTGGTACTCACACAGTCAGAACCTTCTAAGCAAATCACATTCAGCCTTCACAATTTTCATTTTAAATATATAGCCTATGATTGGCCTATGATTTCATGGGCAGGGATGGTGTCTCTAGCCTCTGTTGCCAGAAGCTGGGAATGGGCGACAAGAGATGGATCACTTGATGATTACCTGATCTGTTCATTCCTCCTGGGGCATCTGGCACTGGCCACTGTCGGAAGACAGGATACTGGGCTAGATGGACCTTTGGTCTGACCCAGTGTCACGGAGTGTGGGGGAGTCAGGGCCTTGCACCCCCCACTTCCTGCGATTCACCATGACTCTCAGCCAGCCAGTAAAACAGAAGGTTTATTAGATGACAGGAACACAGTCCAAAACAGAGCTTGTAGGTACAGACAACAGGACCACCTCAGTCAGGTCCATCTTGGGGGGCAGGGAGCCTAGACCCCGGCCCTGGGTCTCCCTCCTTTTCCCCAGCCAGCTCCAAACTGAAACCCCCTCCAGCCTCTCCCCTGTCTCTTTCCTAGGCCAGGAGGCCATCTGATCTCTTTGTTCTCCAACACCTTCAGTTGGCACTTGCAAGGGAGGGGCCCAGGCCATCAGTTGCCAGGAGACAGGGTGTCAGCCATTCTCTGTGCAGAGAGCATCACCAGGGCCAGCTCCAGGCACCAGCGGCAAAAATGCTGGAGCCGGCCCTGAGCATCACACTGGTCGTCTTAGGCTCTGCAACAATCACTCTCTCTTATCCCATGCATAGGGGAAACTGAAGCACCCACACAGTATTCAGAAAAAACATTAAGAATATTCCCACTTCGTCACACCCAGTATCGCCATTCTATGATTTTGTTTTCTTTTTATACGTATTTTTAGCATCACGCATACTTCTACAGTTAGACAAAGTTGGGAATCTAATAATATGGCAGAGATTTGCATGGTTTTATTTCAGACACAGATTAAGCCAGTGAGAATTTGCATTTACCATCCAAATAAAAGCAACTTAACTAATTAGCATTGCACCATGTTTTATTCCATCTCAGACTCTTAGTTAATGCAGCCAGAAGTCACGAGGAGTTAAAGGGGAGATTTGCAAAAACATTTATGTGATTTAGGAGCACAATTCCCATTGACTTGCCAATGGAGCTTGTGCCCCTAAATCACTTAGACAGCTTTGAAAATCCCACACTGTAGCCTTCAACCTTTCAACCTCTGCCTTAAAATTAGAGGGTTGCACCATTACCTCTAGGAAGCAGAGACCACAATTCTTCATCCTCCCGTTTACATGTCAGAGCTGTCAAACCCTCACACAAAGATTTTATCAGGACATGTATGGAACATTTTCTCATTGATATACTCATTGAAGGTTCACTTGCCATCGTTAATAAAAGGCCCATACAGTGCATCATTAATAAAAGCACAGTGAAAAGTCATAGGTCAGAGTCTCATTCTACATGGCATTGAGAGAGATACAGGAACGACTCTACTATTTCAACGCTGCTGCCAATCAAAGGGATCAATTATTTTCTTTCATTCTGCAGTTCCCACACTAAGGGGGCTGTAGTACTGGGAATTCATTTTTTTTATTTTTCTCCCTCCCTGATAAACCAACTGCCAAGAGATTTTATCTCAAACTAAAAATCCATTATTAAATTTACAAAATGACTATGTTTACCTAGTGATAGAGGCTGTTTAAAGGCAGGAAATTCAGGGTTCAGAGAAACAAGAATACATACACTGCTGCAGTGAAATCTGTAAACATTGTTGAGCGAGGAATCCACATCCCAGTGCATGATGTAGTAGCTATCACCTGGACAGAAAGACAAGAGGGTGTCAGAGGGGCAGAGATAAAAAGAGGTTTGTGCATTAACTACAGCATCTTTAGAGAAAGGGTCTTTTTGATATTCAATTGAATTTCTTTCTCCCCCCTCTTACCGGAGCTGCTGCATTTATCCAAATAAAAATCGTCCTTTTAGAGGAGGGGATTTTCCTGTAGATATAGAACACTTCCTCTACAAACACCAGGTTGGCTATTAGTGTCATTAGAGTCAAGATGGCAAAGAGAAATATACCTGTTATATCAAGGCCTGCATAAAAGAAAAAAAGACACATTTTATTTTAGGAGTGTAACATGTTCAATGCAAGAAAGTGCCTCAGAAAGAAGTTTTAGGTCCCACTCCTGCAAAGGCTTTCTTAACTTGACACACTGACATTGACTTCAATGGGATGCCTCGCAGTACATCAGGTTAAGCTCACGAGCAAGTCTTTGCAGGATCTGGGCCTCGGGCTCCATATTCATCTTAGTGCATACATATGTAGCTCCAGCAGCAAAGTGTAGTGTTTAGTGCCCTATAGAGCCTAAGGACAACCCTGTCCTTCTCTCCCCCCACACCCTCCACCAGGGGAAGGTTTAAAAAAAATCTCAGGCAGCCCTTAGTTGGAATCAGCTGTTCCTAATTGACCTCAGGTAACTCCCTCTCAGCTGATCCTAATTGATCTCTGGTAACCCCTTCTCAGCTGAACCTGATTGATCTGTAGTCACCCAGCCCCAGTTTGAAAGGGAGGAGGGCCTTTTAACCTTCCGGGACTGCATTTTACCCACCCCCTCTCCTCCCGCAGCCGATTGTCCTGAGTTTATCACAGTAGAAAGAACGTATCTCTGTTTTTGTGTGACATCCTGCAAAAATCCCCTTCAGATTCCTGAACACGGACTTTGACATGCCTGCAATAGAGACATTCCTTGAGGATTAATCCATGCTGGTTCTCATGCAGGAAGGATCAGAAATGCATGTTGGGACAAGGTTCTAGGACAAGTACTCTTGTATGAATCTAAATAAATAACACCAAATATTCTGGGAGATTTACTCACTCCAGCTGGACCATAAGCAAAGCTGCATTTATTCAGTATTAGTTCCTTACCTTAACAATGAGTTTAAGGGGCTATTCCTGCATGCCTTGGGCATTCAAAATCCCCGTGGGTCTGTTTGGGAGTTTTATCTGCACAAGGAATGAGTTAATCATAGATTCCCAGGGGCCTGGGATACAACTGCCTGTTTCTGGCCAGGTTAAATTATCATCAGGGGCGGCTCCAGGCACCAGCGCAGCAAGCATGTGCCTGGGGCGGCAAGCCGCGGGGGGCAGCCTGCCAGTCACTGTGAGGGCAGCAGACAGGCAGTCTTCGGCGGCATGCCTGCGGGAGGTCCGCCGGTCCCGCGGCTTCGGCAGCAATTCGGCGGCAGGTACGCCAAAGGCGCGGGACTGGCAGATCACCCGCAGAAACGCCACCGAATCCCCGTGACAGCCCGCAGGCGTGCCGCCGAAGGCCGCCTGACTGCCATGCTTGGGGCGGCAAAAAACATAGAGCCGTCCCTGATTATCATTGTGCTTCTCCTCCTTGGCACAGGGTATTGACATTAATATTTACTTCTGGCTCAGTGTAAGGCCGGTCTACACTACTTGGTTAGGTCGACAAAAGGCACTTTACGTCAACCTAGTTGTGCATGTGTCTACACTTATTTGGTCTCCCACCGCTATGCTGAGATAGTAACACCACCTCCCTGAGCAGCATAGAGTCACAGTGAATGTATTTAGGTCAATACAGGGTAAGTATAGATACTGCATTACTTATGTCGACCCTCCAGCAGCTGTCCCACAATAACCCACAGTGGCAATTCCACTGCTTAGGGGTCACAGAGCCCAAAAGCCCTCCCCTCCCTTTAAAACCCCACCATTTTTGAAATTCCTTTTCCTGATTGTCCAGCTTGCCGAGCACACCTAGCAGCTCTCCATTGCTGTGTGCCACTGCCCAGCTGACCCGCTGGCTGCATGCTCCAGAGGCGCCCCTGCCTGCAATAGACAGGAGATATTGCATCTGTTGGTCTGTGGGAAAAGAGGCTGTGAAGGCACAGATCCAATCCAGCCATAGAAACATCGACATATACGAGCAGATTGCTGGGGTGATGCAGGAGAAGGGCTACACCGGGGACCAGCAGCAGGGCCACGTGAAAGCCAACAAGCTGTGGCCAGTATACAAGAAGACCAGAGAGGCCAGCGAGCTGGTGCCAAACCTCAGACCTGCTGCTTTTACAAAGAGCTGCATGCTATCCTCGGCAGACACCCCACTACCACATCCCACAGCACTGTGGATACCTCCAAGAAGCCCAAATCATAAGCCCCTTCCATGAACAGCAAGGAGGAGGAGGAGCTGGTGGAAGAGGACAAGGAGGAGTATGGGGGACAGGTGACGGGGGAGCCAGCTGCGCAGTGACCCAGGATCCATTTTTAACTCCACTGCAGTATAGCCAGTCCCACCAGTAGAGCAAGGGCAAGCGTGATGCAGGGGAAGGAACCTCGGGTAAGCGTGTAGATAAGTTTTCAATGACAGGGACGGACCCCCAGAGTAGCAGGACACATCTTTTGACTTTTCATCAATTTACTTGTGCTAGAAGAGGCAGTGGTACAACTCTGCTTTCCAGACCCCTTTACAGTTAGGCAGGGGTGAAGTGGGGGGAGGATGGCACGCAGAGCAGTTTGTTTATGGACAAACAGGGATGTCCCTTAAATCCTCCTGAGAGGTCTTGATGAAACTTTCATGGAGTTACTCTGCAATCCTCTGCCCATGGTTTTTAGGGAGGGTTGCTTTATTTCTTATCCACGGTAGGACACTCCCACACCACTCAGCCATAACTTCAGCAGGCCCCATTGCAGTACGCAGGCTAGCAGCGTACGGGCCTGGGCGGCTTCAGGACACCAGCAGCAGCCTTTGAGACCTTCAGGAGTGAGACATCAGCTAAAATCACCACCGCCTGTGGAAAATGGTGCCAGTATTCCTATACTTGCCCTATACTACTAGAATCATACGACCAAGCAATTCCTCCTCATTTCCCCACCCCCGTGGGGGGCCATACTCACCATGGCTGGTGCTGTGACTGGTGCCGTGCACAAGCAATCCCAAGCAGAAGTGAGAAGGTCGTGTTTAAAACTTGTGGGGAGCAAGGGGAGTGTGTTCAGCATCTTCAGTTTCTCATTCTGCAGTGAATATGCTGACAATGGTACCTCTGTGTGTGTTATCTTCAGCTGCTGCCACTGCAGCCTTCAGGTCTCCCCCTCTACACTTGCTGAACGCCTGAGCCAGATAAGGAGGAAAGAGAAGGGGACTTGGGAGGACGTGTTCCAGGGCATCTTGCAAGCCAGTGCTGGATCAGACTGTGAGCACAGAGCCTGGAGGATGAAGACCGCAGGCAGCCTGAAGAAGGTAAGAGCAGAGAGGAGAGAGTCCCAGGAGTCCCAGCAGGAAAAGGAGAGGGATGCACCAGGACATAATGGGGCTTCTCAGGAAGCAAACACAGATGCTGCAGGCTCCCTATATCTATATCAATATTCCATGTGGCATCTGGGGTTTCTGCACTATCCCTACCACTCCACATTAAAGACAATCACAGCTTCCCCTAAACTGACCTGTGAAAGCCACGGTTGGTGTATGTGTAGCTGAAATGGACATGAATGTTCTTTCCTCTTCATAAGCTCTGCTCCCTTAATTTATTAAACTTTATTAAGTTTTTAATGTATTTGTTTTAAAATTGCACAGGTTATTTTGCACTGATTTTATTACAGAATAAAATTACATTATTTGGAACTCATTCAGCTTTATTGGGTCAAAACATATACCAATGAGTGCTCAGCAGTTCTGAGAGTAACCATGTCACATAACTCATAGGATCATTCACAAACAAAATTAAGAGGTGCATTGACTATGTTATATTCCTACATGTCCAGCGATCACCAAATGATTCCTACTAGGCCACAAAAGAGGAGGGCCAGGGAGAGCCACTACAACACCACACACTTCTCTGGCTCACTGTTAAAATGGTCTTTCAGAGCCGCCCACAGCTATATAGCTCCGTGTTGAGCTCTTCTAATAGTCCTTGTATCTGGCTGTTCAAATTCAGCAGACAGCTGCTTCACCTCCGCCCTCCACTCCAGCGGAAACTTTTCCCCCCTTTGCTTCACAGATATTATGCAGGACACAGCAGGCAGCTATAAACCATTGGGGTATTTTTCTCACTGAGATCCATTCTGGTGAATAAACAATGCCAGCAGCCCTTCAAATGACCAAAAGCACATTCAACTGTCATTCTGCACCTGCTGAGCCTGTAGTTGAATTGTTTCTTGGTGCTGGCAAGATGGTTTCATGAGCCAGGAATATGCTGCCTCCCCCGGGATCACTACTGGCATTTCAGCGTTCCCAATGCTAATCCGCCAGTCAGGAAAGAAAGTCCCTGCTTGTAGATTTCTGAACATCCTGTGTTCTTAAAGATGTGAGTGTTATGCACCTTCCCTGACTACCTAACATTGATGATGGTCAACAATGATGACGCATCCCCAGTGATCCAACAATGATGTGTAACTATAGAAAAGTAGCCCTTTCTGGTGATGTACTCAGTGGCAAGGTGGTCTGTGCCAAAATAGGGATGTGTGTGCCGTCTATCACTCCTCTGCAGTTTGGGAACCCCACTGCTGCAAATCCATCCACTATGTCCTGCACATTGTCCAGAATCACAGTCCTGCATAGCAGGAGGTGATAAATAGCCCTGCATGCTTGCATGACAATGGTCCCCGCTGTGGATTTCCCACCTCCAAACTGATTTACCATTGACCGGCAGCAATCCAGAGTTGCAAATTTGCCTAGTGCGATCGCCACTCGCTTCTCCACTCTCAGTGCACCTCTCATTTTGGTGTCCCTGCACAGGAGGCCTGGGGCAAGCTCGGCACACAGATCCAGGAATGTGGCTTTGAGAATCTGAAAGTTCTGCCGCCGCTGCTCATCATCCCACACCTGCATTACAATGCAATCCCACCACTCAGTGCTTGTTTCTCAGGCCCAGAAGTGGTGCTCCACCATGTGCAGCTGCTCCATGAATGCCAGCCACAACCTTGAAATGGCTCTTCCTATGTTCCACAGCACTTTGTCCTCCAAGAAATTGTTATGTTGCCCACTCATTCAGTTCTTCTTGCAGCTCTACAAACGCTCCAGGATCGTGTGCCCTGTGCTTGCAATGCTCATGACAACAGTGCAGAGCTGTGCGGG